ACCACATCGGAAGTGGGCCTCACCTCCCCCCAGTGATGGGAGGTGGAGCTGGGGAGGAGGGGAGGTGTCTTAGTGAAGCTACAGCCTCCCCCGGGGTATGAACTGGGTACAGCGGGTCCCAAAATTGGTTCCAAATTCAGAGATAGAGACACAGATGCATCTGGAATGCGTTGCCTGAAAGGCTGGTGGAAGCCATTCGATAACAGCTTTTAAGGGAGAGCAGATAACTATTTGGGGAGGACAAGTTTGCAGGTTATGGGGAGAGAGTGGGGGAGTGGGGTTGAATTGGAAGCTCTTTTCAAAGACCGGCACAGACACGATGAGCCGAATGGCCTCCATCTGCGCTGTATAATTCTATCATTCTACATGAAGTGGCTCTCGTGCCCCACCCACCAGTGGGGCATTGGTGGGAGGTTTGAGTTGTGGGGAAAGGGAAGACTTTTAGTGAAGTTACAGCCTCCCCCGGGGTATTGGCAGGAACACGAGATCACAAAATTGGTCCCAGATTCAGAGACAGAGACACAGAGGAACAGTGTGGAGAGTGGGCGACATGGAGCCGTGGCTACTCCGGCCCTGAACCTCGATTTCTCCTGTCTCTCAATCGTCTGTGTTGATGGGTTTTATTTCTGCAGAGACTGAGGGCAGGTGTTGGGGGAGGGGCTGGTGTGTGTGTGTGTATAGAATCGAGTCGTTGTGTATCCTGTGTGAGGTTTATGTACGAGAGATCTGTCTCTCTCTCACGCTGTGCCCTTCTCTCGCAGCGCAGTAATACACCCCCTCCTGGGTTGGGTTGATGTTGGTGATCTCCAGGGTGGAGTTCATGTTGTCAGGTGTCTTGGTAATGTTGTAGCCGGATTTAAACTTGTCCTCATATACAGTTGAGTATTCATTATATCCAATCAATGTGAGGCCTCCCTGATGGGGTTGGATGTACCAAAGCATCATATCAAGGGATTTGTCGTTGTGGCTACATCTCAAACTCACTGTCTCCCCCTCTCTGGCTGTGACTGTCCGCGGCCTCTGAGTCACCAAAGCTCCCAGTGACAGACCTGCAAAGACAATATAACAATGAGATCCGCCGACAGGGAATCTGTGGCTGAATGTCCTGGGGGGTGTTCAATGGATTACGCACACACACAAAGCGCAATCATGCGGACAGAGAGGGTGTGATATGTAATCCCTGTGGATTTGAGAGTTTACGGGGATGAGAGAGATGTTGAGAGATACTCACAGGGCCAGAGGATGGAGATCAGAGAGACGGTGAGAAAGGACAGACTCATTGAGGCAGAGACTTGGATTAACATTGGGAACCTCACACCAGAGCTCAGGTTCCTCTCTCTGTCACTGTCTCTCTGTCTCTCCCTCTCTCTATGTCTCTGGAATGAAGCTCTGACAGAGTAAAGTCTGCACCACATCGGAAGTGGGCCTCACCTCCCCCCAGTGATGGGAGGTGGAGCTGGGGAGGAGGGGAGGTGTCTTAGTGAAGCTACAGCCTCCCCCGGGGTATGAACTGGGTACAGCGGGTCCCAAAATTGGTGCCAAATTCAGAGAGAGACACAGATGCATCTGGAATGCGTTGCCTGAAAGGCTGGTGGAAGCCCATTCGATAACAGCTTCTCAGGGAGAAGCAGATAACTATTTGGGGAGGACAAGTTTGCAGGTTATGGAGAGAGAGCGGGGGATTGGGGTTGAATTGGAAGCTCTTTTGTGGGGAAAGGGAAGCCTGTGAGTGAACATAAGAACATAAGAATTAGGAGCAGAAGTCGGTCATTTGGCCCCTCGAGCTGCCCCGCCATTTGATAAGATCATGGCTGATCTTCTGACCTAACTCTAATTACCTGCTCTATCCCCATATCCACTAATCCCTCTATTTTTTAAACATCTATCAGTCTCAGCCTTGAAGATGTTCAAGGACTGACATCTACAGCCTTCTGGGGAGTGGATTCCATAAAGTCACTGCCCTCTGAATGAAGAAATGTTTCCTCAACTCTGTTCTAAAAGGCTGACCCTTAATGTTAAGACTGTGACCCCCGGTTATAGATTCTCCCACCGGGGAAACAGACCCTCAGTGTCTACTTTATCAGCCCTTTAATAATCTTATATGTTTTAATAAGATCCCCCCTAATTCTTCTGTACTCCAGAAAATACAGTCCCAGTTTATTCAGCCTCTCCTCATAGGTCAGTTCCTCATCCAGGAACTAACCGAGTGAAGTTACAGCCTCCCCCGGGGTATTGGTCAGGAACACAGATCACAAAATTGGTCCCAGATTCAGAGACACAGAGGGAACAGTGTGGAGTGGGCGACATGGAGCCGTGGCTACTCGGCCCTGAACCTCTATTTCTCTCTGTCTCTCAATCGTCTGTGTTGATGCGTTTTATTTCTGCAGAGACTGAGGGCAGGTGTTAGCGTGGGAGGGGCTGGTGTGTGTGTGTATAGAATCGAGTGGTTGGGTATCCTGTGTAAGGTTTATGTACGAGAGATCTGTCTCTCTCACGCTTTGCCCTTCTCTTGCAGCGCAGTAATACACCCCGTCCTGGGTTGGGTTTATGCTGGAGATCTCCAGGGTGGAGTTCATGTTGTCAGGTGTCTTGGTAATGTTGTGGCCAGATTTCTCATACGTTATCGCTGAGTTAACGACATACCCGATCAATGTGAGGCCTCCCTGATGGGGTTGGATGTACCAGAGCATCACAGTAAGAGAGCTGTCGTCCTGGTGACAATTCAAAGTCACTGTCTCCCCCTCTCTGGCTGTGACTGTCGCGGCCTCTGAGTCACCAAAGCTCCCAGTGACAGACCTGCAAAGACAATATAACAGTGAGATCCGCCGACAGGGAATCTGGCTGAATGTCCTGGGGGTGTTCAATGGATTACGCACACACACAAAGCGCGATCATCGCGGACAGAGAGAGGATGTGATATGAATTCCTTGTGGATTTGAGAGTTTACGGGGATGAGAGAGATGTTGAGAGATACTCACAGGGCCAGAGGATGGAGATCAGAGAGACAGTGAGAAAGGACAGACTCATTGTTGGCAGAGACTTGGATTAACATTGGGAACCTCACACCAGAGCTCAGGTTCCTCTCTCTCTCTCACATACACTCACTCTTTAACATTCACACTCTCATTTTGGTGGTTAACTTTCTCAATAACTTGCCCCTCAATCCTAAACATTGTCTCTCTCACTCTATCTCTGTGGAATGAAGCTCTGGATAAGGAAAGCTCCAATGACACCAAGTGTCGGCACCAAATCGGAAGTGGCCTCTCCCCCACCCACCCCCCACCCACCTTGTGGGACATTGGTTGGAGAGGAGATGTGGGGGAGTGGGTTTGTCTTAGTGAAGCTACAGCCTCCACCAAAGTATGGCCTGGGAAACAGTTGCTCATAAAATTAGTCGTTGGCTCGGAGACGTAGAGGGAACAGTGTGGAGAGTGGGCGACATGGACCCGTGGCTACTCCGGCCCTGAACCTCTATTTCTCTCTGTCTCTCAATCGTCTGTGTTGATGGGTTTTATTTCTGCAGAGACTGAGGGCAGGTGTTGGCGGGGAGGGGTTGGTGTGTGTGTGTATAGAATCGAGTCGTTGTGTATCCTGTGTGAGGTTTATGTACGAGAGATCTGTCTCTCTCTCACGCTGTGTCCTTCTCTCGCAGCGCAGTAATACACCCCCTCCTGGGTTGGGTTGATGTTGGAGATCTCCAGGGTGGATTCATTCTGTCTGGTGTCTTGGTAATGTTGTAGCCGGATTTAAACTTGTCCTCATAGGTGGTTGAGGCTTGGTTATATCCGATCAATGTGAGGCCTCCCTGATGGGTTGGATGTACCAAAGCATCATGTTAAGGATTTGTCGTTGTGGCTACATCTCAAAGTCACTGTCTCCCCCTCTCTGGCTGTGACTGTCCGCGGCTCCTGAGTACCAAAGCTCCCAGTGACTGACGTGCAAAGACAATATAACATCCGTCATCCTGACCACAGGGAATGTCCTGGTCTGATCCCCGGAATTACATACACATACGGGCGCACACCCTCACACATACACATACACACATACACAGAGCCGGATCTTCTCAGACATAGAGAGGGGAGGATGATATGAAATCCCAGTGTATTTGGGAGCCTGAGGGGAATTGAGAGATGTTGAGAGATACTCACAGGGCCGGATAGATCAGAGAGACAGAGAGAAGAGAAAGGACAGACTCATTGTTGGCAGAGACTTGGATTAACTTTGGGAACCTCACACCAGAGCACAGGTTCCTCTCTCTATCTGTGTCTCTCTGTCTCTCCCTCTCTCTATGTCTCTGGAATGAAGCTCTGGCAGAGTAAAGTCTGTACCACATCGGAAGTGGAACCTCACCCTCCCCACTGTGATGGGAGGTGGAGCTGGGGACGAGGGGAGGTGTCTTAGTGTAGCTACAGCCTCCCCAGGGTATGAACTGGGTACAGCGGGTCCCAAAATTGGTTCCAAATTCAGAGATAGGGACACAGATGCATCTGTAATGCGTTGCCTGAAAGGCTGGTGGAAGCCCATTCGATAACAGCTTTTATGAGACAAGTAGATACCTATTTGTGGAGGACAAGTTTGCAGGTTTATGGGGAGAGAGCGGGGGAGTGGGGTTGAATTGGAAGCTCTTTTCAAAGACCGGCACAGACACAATGAGCCGAATGGCCTCCATCTGCGCTGTATAATTCTGTGATTCTACATCGGTCTCGTGCCCCACCCACCAGTGGGGCATTGGTGGGAGGTTTGAGATTGGGAAAGGGAAGCCTTTTAGTGAAGTTACAGCCTCCCCCCGGGGTATGGTCAGGAACACGAGATCACAAAATTGGTCCCAGATTCAGAGACAGAGGCACAGAGGGAACAGTGTGGAGAGTGGGCGACATGGAAGCCGTGGCTACTCCGGCCCTGAACCTCGATTTCTCTCTGTCTCTCAATCGTTCTCGTGTTGATGTTTTTTATTTTTTCTGCAGAGACTGAGGGCAGGTGTTGGCGCGGGAGGGGCTGGTGTGTGTGTGTATAGAATCGAGTCGTTGTGTATCCTGTGTGAGGTTTATGTACGAGAGATCTGTCTCTCTCTCACGCTGTGCCCTTCTCTCGCAGCGCAGTAATACACCCCTCCTGGGTTGCCTTCTTGATCTCCAGGGAACAGTTCTTATAGTCGTCTGTCTGTTTAACTTCGTAGTCAAGTTTGTAAGCATCCTCCATCGTTGGGTTTGACGCATAACCGTATCCAATCAATGTGAGGCCTCCCTGATGGGGTTGGAGGTACCACAGCATTGTATTAAGGGCACTGTCCTTCTGGTAACATCTCAAAGTCACTGTCTCCCCTCTCTGGCTGTGACTGTCCGCGGCAACTGAGTCACCAAAGCTCCCAGTGACAGACCTGCAAAGACAATATAACAATGAGATCCGCCGACAGGGAATCTGGGCTGAATGTCCTGGGGGGTGTTCAATGGATTACGCACACACACAATGCGCGATCATCGCGTACAGAGAGAGGTGTGATATGAAATCCCTGTGGATTTGAGAGTTTACGGGGATGAGAGAGATGTTGAGAGATACTCACAGTGCCAGAGGATGGAGATCAGAGAGACAGTGAGAAAGGACAGACTCATTGTTGGCAGAGACTTGGATTAACATTGGGATCCTCACACCAGAGCTCAGGTTCCTCTCTCTGTTTGTGTCTCTCTGTCTCTCCCTCTCTCTATGTCTCTGGAATGAAGCTCTGACAGAGTAAAATCTGCACCACATCGGAAGTGGGCCACACCTCCCCCCAGTGATGGGAGGTGGAGCTGGGGAGGAGGGGACGTGTCTTAGTGTAGCTACAACCTCCCCCGGGGTATGAACTGGGTACAGCGGGTCCCAAAAATTGGTTCCAAATTCAGAGATAGGGACACAGATGCATCTGTAATGCGTTGCCTGAAAGGCTGGTGGAAGCCCATTCGATAACAGCTTTTATGAGACAAGTAGATACCTATTTGGGGAGGACAAGTTTGCTGGTTATGGGGAGAGAGTGGGGGAGTGGGGTTGAATTGGAAGCTCTTTTCAAAGACCGACACAGACACGATGAGCGAATGGCCTCCATCTGCGCTGTATAATTCTATCATTCTACATTGGAAGTGGCTCTCGTGCCCCACCCACAGTGGGGCATTGGTGGGAGGTTTGAGTTGTGGGGAAAGGGAAGACTTTCAGTGAAGTTACAGCCTCCCCCGGGGTATTGGGCAGGAACACGAGATCACAAAATTGGTCCCAGATTCAGAGACAGAGACACAGAGGGAACAGTGTGGAGAGTGGGCGACATGGAGCCGTGGCTACTCCGGCCCTGAACCTCGATTTCTCTCTGTCTATTAATCGTCTGTGTTGATGGGTTTTATTTCTGCAGAGACTGAGGGCAGGTGTTGGCGGGGAGGGGCTGGTGTGTGTGTGTGTGTATAGAATCGAGTCGTTGTGTATCCTGTGTGAGGTTTATGTACGAGAGATCTGTCTCTCTCTCACGCTGTGCCCTTCTCTCGCAGCGCAGTAATACACCCCCTCCTGGGTTGGGTTGATGTTGGTGATCTCCAGGGTGGAGTTCATGTTGTTGGTGTTTTGGTAATGTTGTAGCCGGATTTAAACTCCTCATATACGGTTGAGTATTCATTATATCCAATCAATGTGAGGCCTCCTGATGGGGTTGGATGTACCAAAGCATCGTATCAAGGGATTTGTCGTTGTGGCTACATCTCAAAGTCACTGTCTCCCCCTCTCTGGCTGTGACTGTCCGCGGCCTCTGAGTCACCAAAGCTCCCAGTGACAGACCTGCAAAGACAATATAACAATGAGATCCGCCGACAGGGAATCTGGCTGAATGTCCTGGGGGGTGTTCAATGGATTACGCACACACACAAAGTGCGATCATCGCGGACAGAGAGAGGGTGTGATATGAATTCCCTGTGGATTTGAGAGTTTATGGGGATGAGAGAGATGTTGAGAGATACTCACAGGGCCAAAGGATGGAGATCAGAGAGACAGTGAGAAAGGACAGACTCATTGTTGGCAGAGACTTGGATTAACATTGGGAACCTCACACCAGAGCTCAGGTTCCTCTCTCTGTCACTGTCTCTCTGTCTCTCCCTCTCTCTATGTCTCTGGAATGAAGCTCTGACAGAGTAAAGTCAGCACCACATCGGAAGTGGGCCTCACCTCCCCCCAGTGATGGGAGGTGGAGCTGGGGAGGAGGGACGTGTCTTAGTGAAGCTACAGCCTCCCCCAGGGTATGAACTGGGTACAGCGAGTCCCAAAATTGGTGCCAAATTCAGAGATAGAGATGCATCTGGAATGCATTACCTGAAAGGCTGGTGGAAGCCCATTCGATAACAGCTTCTAAGGGCGAAGTAGATAACTATTTGGGGAGGACAAGTTTGCAGGTTATGGGGAGAGAGCGGGGGAGTGGGGTTGAATTGGAAGCTCTTTTGTGGGGAAAGGGAAGCCTGTGAGTGAACATAAGAACATAAGAATTAGGAGCAGGAGTCGGCCATTCGGCCCCTCGAGCTGCACCGCCATTTGATAAGATCACAGCTGATCTTCAGACCTAACTCTAATTACCTGCTCTATCCCCATATCCGCTAATCCCTCTATTTTTTAAACATCTCTCAGTCTCAGCCTTGAAGATGTTCAAGGACTGACATCTACAGCCTTCTGGGGGAGTGGATTCCATAAAGTCACTGCCCTCTGAGTGAAGAAATGTTTCCTCAACTCTGTTCTAAAAGGCTGACCCTTAATGTTAAGACTGTGACCCCCGGTTATAGATTCTCCCACCGGGGAAACAGACCCTCAGTGTCTACTTTATCAGCCCTTTAATAATCTTATATGTTTTAATAAGATCCCCTAATTCTTCTGTACTCCAGAAAATACAGTCCCAGTTTATTCAGTCTCTCCTCATAGGTCAGTCCACTCATCCCAGGAACTAACCGAGTGAAGTTACAGCCTCCCCCGGGGTATTGGTCAGGAACACGAGATCACAAAATTGGTCCCAGATTCAGAGACGTAGAGTGAACAGTGTGGAGAGTGGGCGACATGGAGCCGTGGCT